GGGCAGGCAGACTCTCAACCACTGCGCCACCAGGGAAGCCCTGTGGTTTTTAACCTGAGAGACTCCTCCAGACGGTAGGACATGAGCTGCCCTCATCGGCTCATATCTCCCAGGCATCCTGCTCCAGCACGTTACTCTGGACCGGGTCGGTCTTCAGCAGGGCCCTTGCAGCCTCCCCGCAGCCCCCGGTCACCCTCTCCTCCTCCTGCCTCACGCCCACCTTCCAAATACCAAGCATTCCCAGAGACCCATGCCTGGCCGGCAGCACGTCCCACCCCCCAGGCTCTATCAGGGTCAACCGTGGACGCAGAACCACCACCTGCAAACCCACCCCTGGGCACCATGGGCCAGGGGCCTCCCCAGCCGATCTCTTGCACTATGAGGCAGAGTTGGACCACAGGGCCCAGCACCAGGTTCCGTCCTGAGTGACTGAGCAAGGCCCCCATCTGCGCCCCACTTCTCCCAGCCTCCGCTGGGCACACAGACGGTGCTCGCTCCAAGGTGCGGTGAGGACGGAGCTGGAAGTGGCGCAGCGTCCACCGGGCTTTAGATGCTGACAGCAGACCCACCCGCCTCCAAACCTCGTGCCAGCGTGAGCCCCTCATCGGCCCCTCAAACAGCCATGCCCTCTCTGCAGCGCCTGTGCCACTACCAGGGCACACGCTCAGCCTGACCAATTCAGTGCCGCTCAGTGGACAGAGGCCACAGCAGCTACACTCAGGGCAGGAAGAGGCTGCGCTGAGCGGAGATGAGGTGATGGCCCTGGCGCCACCTGAAGGCAGAAACGGGTCCACAGCTCCTGCTTCCCGCTTTGCATTCCCACCAGGCATGGTGGGCACGAGCCTGTCGCCGACTCCGAGCCAGGCCAGGTCACTGAGGACCCCTCCCGAGCCCCCTGGAGACTCACATCGGGGACATAAGGAAGTCCTGCCATCGGCCTGTCCTGAGGCCACAGGGAAGGACCCACCCACGTGTGCTGGAAAAGCTCTGGGGTGCCCTGTACCTCCGCAAGGCGCTCCCCGCCTCCTTCCCACCATCATCCTCCACACCTCCATACTCCTGAGAATGCAGAGCTTCTCACCTCTGCCCGTGCACAGGTGAACCCCCAGGGAGGGGCCCAGACCAAACACAGTGGCTTCCCTGACCCCACCCAACTCCTGTCCCAGAGCGGATCCTTGCTCCAAAATGCTCAATAAGTGGGTGGAGAAATTCTACACCGGTGACGCCTGACACGTAACATCTCAGAAGTTCTGCAGAGAATATGCAGCGGCACAATTTATGGAAGTTGCCACCCTCATAATTAAATGGCTTTCTTGTAAATGGCCTTAAAGAAGTAATGACCAAGGACAAACATATACTTAGCATTCATTTCATTCTTTCCAAACAATGTGATATAATCAACAAAACCACCAACCAGCAACTGCAAATCAAGATTTTTGTAGGTCATGACTTTTAAAAAACCCGGCACTACAGCAACAACCCTTCTAAAGCTGATTTTGTTCTGGTGCAACAGGACTGTTCCGAACCCCTGGTCTCGCTGCAAACCTGTGATGCCGGAGGGGGCACAGGTGCTCCAGCGCTGGGAGCAGAGTATCAAGTGCACTTAATACAAGGTTAGCAAGAAAAGCTGTAACCTAGAACTTTATAAAGGCACAAGCCAATGTGTTTTAATTAAGACTAACTGACACTGTCTACATTTTTTCCAAATTCCTTATATATCCCTAGATTTCGAGGTCTTTGAACTTACACATGGAAAACCACCAAAAGTAACTTCACGTGTGAACCAATCACACACAAAAAAGGGGGCGGAGGTGGACAATGTATCTGAAAGTATCTCACTCTCTATAATATATACACTTGTTACAAAATTCTTCAGACAAAATTCTTTTTTCAATGTAGAATATATTCTAAGTGCTTGGAAACTGTGAAAATCACCCCTGACCATTTCCAGATCTGGGCCAGTTCTCAGACTCAGACCCACCAGCTGAAGGAGAGGCCCCACCCACGAGGATGGACCTGTGACGGCAGGGGAGATGCACCGAAGATGGAGGATCTAAGGCCAGGAGGGGACACTGATCATGTGAGGCGGCTGGACACAGGGCCCAGGTGACACCAGACCCATCACGCCCACTGGAGTAAGGGTCCACAAGTCAGGTAATAAACTGGGCTCATGGGCACACAGGTCCCACCACTGACCACTTCCAGGTTCCTGAACGTGTAACCAGAAAGCACAGGCTTAGCACCCAGCTGAGCCTCACACGGGTTCCCTGGGGTGTGATTAGGGGCTAGTGTAAGAGAAGGGGCAGGTGGAGGCCATCCCAGCCTCGAGTGTAAATCAAACACAATATCACATCCTGGGGGAAAAGCAGACACTGGGCTACCTTGGAGGCTTGAAGGAGGGGGGTGCTGGTCCCCACACACCCCTGCAGAAGCAGACGTCCCACGCACATGCTGCATCGGCGAGTCAGCACTGGGACCCTTTCTGCTGTCTTCACATTGCTCAGTGGTCTGCACGCTGGACGTTTTCGTCATGCTGGCCACCGTGTTGAGGACATCCTGTGGCACCTGATGAGCACGACTTTTGGGTCCAGAGGTCTGGGCACCGCAACACTACCTCTGAGGTGAGGGACCATGAAGAGAGAGGCACAGGACTTGGCCGGTCTCCTTGGGCCACCTGGGGTCCTGTTCACCCTTGACCATAGTTAAGAGTGGGGTCCGAAGAAGCACGGGCCTGCCATCTGGCCCTGAGGCTGCAGAGTCCTGGAGGAAGCTGGTGGCAGTCGACGATGTGGAGACCTGCAGCCCCAGGGGGCCGTCACAGCACAGACCCCAGGACCCTGTGACATGGAGCTGTGGGCCATTCAAGGTGGCGTGGCCAGGGCACCACGTGGCCACGCTGCCCACCAGGAGCTGGGTACTGTCAGACCACCAAGGCATGAGCTTGAGTGGCCTCACAGCCATGAAGACCACTCCACGGGTCACCCACCCATGGCTCTGACCTCTCCTTCAGCTGCACCCAGGGCCTCACGGGGCTGGTCCCCAGGACCCAGTGATAGAGCAGGTTCACAGGCAGGCTGGCGTGGTGCACTGGCACAATGCCAAAAGGGACTGAGACTGCAGCCCAGCCCCATTCAGGGCAAGGACACACACAAGCCCCCAGGCCCTGGTGAGTGAGCAGGGGAGTCTGCTGCGAGGAGCAGACCTGTGAGATGCTGTGGGTGGACCTGGGGGCACTGGGGGTGGGCGCTGGGGTAGGCAGTGCTGGCTTGTTGGGCCAGAGAAGAGGCTGTGGGCCCCTCCCCGAAGGCTGGTCTCGTTACTACCACTCCTGACCTTCTGGTCCCTAGGGGACCGGCCCAAGGATTCCAGCAGTCCTGGTGAGTCAGGTGACACCAGCCCCCCACCATCAGACCCAGGGCGTGCACTGGCCCCCATGATGCTACCTCGGCGAAGGGCCACTTCTCAATAAAGAGGCGCTGGGCACTTCTGAACCTCCCTCACATCCAGCCTCTGGAAGCTCCAGCCTGAGCAGCAGTGGAGCGGCCTCTCAAGAAGTAGCCGAAGGCCATTTTTATCTTCTTCCAGGCGTATTTCAAGGACATGTTAACATTAACAACGGTTAAATTTAAGCAATATAAGGGCAATTACAATTCTGAGCATAAGAATCCTCAGCATCAAACTTAAGGTTGTAAAACATCACCTATTCCATGAAAAGACGACAACAGCCCTCAGGCAGAGTGCGTAGGTTTGCTTACATGACAGCCAAGTCCCCAGTCACGTCAGGTGTGCAGGGGCTGGGCAGCTGGAGACAGAGCATGAGGGGCTACATTTCCTAGAAGGAGAAAATCAGCGGGCTAAATTCACAGCTCCAAAATAAGGGGCTATTGGAAGAGAAAGAATTCATCTTGGGTGAACAAACGTCCTTCAAACTCCTTGAGAAATTGTATCTGAAGGAAGTGTATATTTGAGCCTTTGTCTTAACTCAGTACACGTTTCACAGGGTCCACTCTCTGAGCCCTGAGCCCTGTGCCATGAACAGGCTCTTTCCTTCGTGAAGGCCCAGTGGCCAGGCAGTCAGACCCCGAACACAGTGCCCAGAAGCCCATGAGAAATGCAGAGTCTCAGGTCCCACCAACACCTGGGATCAGATCCCAGGGGCTCATGTGCACTGGAGATGCTTTAGTGTGTGGACATGGCTGGACACGGCACTGCAGCAGAAGAGAGCAAACCTGGAGGCTGTTCCCAGGCAATCAGACACCATGTATCTTAAGACAGTTCCAGACCTTTCTCCTTCCCACTTTCAAAACCAGTGATCACCACAATAATTCAAAGATGTTTTTACTAAAATTTCAGCATAGAGATCTGAGCAGTGGGCTCTGTGGTCAGACACCAGCTCTGGGGTTCAACTGCCTGGGCCACCCCCGACCCTGAGTCACACGGGAGCGAGGAATCCACGGGCCCGAGATGCTCCCCCAGGTCCAAGTGGCTGGGAGACGCTCCCTGAAATGGGGTTCCTGTGGGGGGAAGTGAGCTCTCACCCAGTGAATGCCAAGGAGGACGGGTCCTGGAGAGCCTGGCTCATGGGGGCCAAAGGGGAAGCCATTCGAAAGATGAGAACGTAGTCTGAGGTTATGTAGCTAATGGAATTTTTTTTTTTAACTGATATCTCCTACAGCTCTCAACCTGTGTTTTCATGTCCAAGGTACACAGCTTCTCAAATGCTGATAAAACCAAACTAAACTAAACCAAACCAAAAAAATACTTTGGACCCATTTGAAAGTAACCAGTGCTACCCAAAACAAGAAGCACATTTTCCTTCAAAGGAAAACAACCTTGAGTGCGCAGACACACCAGGCACACATCATTCTCCAAGGGGGCAGTCTGATTACAAACTGACTCTTCCTATCCTAAGGAAGAATCTTAATCTAAAAAGCTGTAATGGCAGTTCTACCAAAAGGCGTAACAATGCAGCAGAAACATGCAGAAACATCCGTACTCACACTTGCTGGGTGTCGCACAGCAGCTGCGTGTTGCAGCCTCACCCTCTGAGGCATCATCACGTCGTCCTGCAGGAGAGAACACATTTTAAACTCCCTGGAAGCAACTCTGACAAACAAGCAAGAAGACAGACAGCCCGACAGCAAAGTAGGCAAGAGACCAGAACAGGCAGTTCAGATGCTTCCCAGCAGTCCATGACCCTGTCAGTCGGCCAGGAAACGTGAGTACCCAGGCTGCAGTGTAGGACACGCGGGAAATTGGACAATTCTGGCCAGAACTCACACGGCTGGCAGGGATGAGGACCTGGGGAAGAGAGTGGGGCACGTCCAGAAAGGTGGAGACTCAGATCCCTAAGACCTAATAACTTCACCACATGTGCAGAAAAAGTCTTAGACGTATGTACCAGAAGAGATGTACAGAGCATTCACCACAGCGTCATTCAAATCGGGGAACAGCCTGATGTTCACAGATACCAGCACAGATAAATAAATTGTGCGCATTTCTACAGTCAAATACCATTCAAGTGTGAAATTAAACAACAGCTACACACAACATAAATGAGTTGCACAGACATAATGCTCAGTGAAAGAGGCAAGACAAAAGAATATACATAGTATTATTCCGTTTATTTAAAACTCAAAATCAAGCAAAACTAACCTGATTGTTTAAGAAATATACACTTAATTCGAACTATCATAAAGAAAAGCAAGAAAATTATAATCCCAAAGTCAGAATAGTGATGACTTTGCGGGGAGGGAGTCAGGGTGTACCTCTAAGGTATTAGCAATGCAGTACTTCCTGACTGAGTCGTAGTCACACATGTAATTACCTCCTAATTAATCTTTAAAGTGTACATGTATGTTCTGTGTATTTTTCTATAGGTACGTTCCATCTCACAACTTAAAAGTGCTTTAAATTGATAAAAAATCAAAAAGATTTCAGTGTTTTATTTGTACAAATATGCCCACTATGTCATTGGGAGGATATTCATCTTTAAACTGAGCAATAAGATAAACTAAAAGAGCTGTATTTGTATCTCTTATTTCTGCATAATGGCTTCATGAGCATTGTGCTAATCAAACGAGCTGTGGATGAAGTAAGCTGAGAGGAAGCCTGTGGCTAATGTGAGGAGGTGGGGAGGGAGGTGCTGAAAGAGGAGGGGGGGAGGAGGGGGAGGGGGAGGAGGGGGGGGGGAGGGGGGGGGGGGGGAGGAGGGAGGGGGGGAGGAGGAGGGGGCAAGGGGGGGAGAAGGAGGGGCACAGGCAGGGCAGGGGCCCCTCCAGGCACAGCAGCACCCCCAGCAGGCAGGAAGCAGGTGTGAAGGTGGGAACAGAAATGCAGGGAGGAAGCTGTCAGAACAGGAGCAGAGAAGCCGGCTATTCCAGGCCTGAATCCTTCCCTGGCTCCCATCAGGAACATGCTTGCAGGCATGTGCCTGGTCAGCCACAGCTGGGAATCTTAAAAAGGAAAACAAGGAAAATTGAAGCAGAAAAGGGTGGGTGATGTGAGGAGGATAAAAAGAAGTTATGCTAGAGTTTAGCCTATTTCTCTCCCACAAAGGGTACAGCAAGGCAGCAGGGCAGAGACAAAAGCAGGAAAATTTCCTTGAAAGGGAAGGTCTATTGATCAAACTCTTGAAAAATGGCCCTGTGTCTGGTGGCCTCACGCAGAATCCTACAAAGTTCTGAGGTTTCCTAAACCAGTCCCGACTCCTGGTTACGTGTGGGAAGGTGCACAAGTCTGCACAGGACCAGGCCAGTATTTCAAAGAGAAAGTGGGGAGAGTAGAGGAAGCCACAGTCGGGGTCAGGGTTAGGGTTAGTCTCTGCTCACAGCGTGACCTCCTCCGGGACGCTGTGCAGTAGCACCACCACACATGCAAGCCCCACTTCCTCCAAACCCAGGCAAGCACCCCAGGAACCACAACACAAGCCTTCTGGCCTCTAATTCCCACACTTACTCAGTGGCACCAAGATGTCCACTGGGATGGGGCATCTTGTGTGGACCAGCTCAGCTCCTGTATTTGGCTGGACTTAAAAAATATTTGTAGAACAAATGAAGCGTCTTCTCAGGACTGAATTGTATTTTCAATCCACCTCACCACTTACAAAACACAACACTCTTTTTTTGATATTTATCACAATCTTCTATAGTTGGGAGACAGAGCAGCTAATATTATCCCCATTTTGTAGCCAAGGAAACCAAGGTTTGGAATCGCTACAGAACTCATCCAAAATCTCATAGCAATTACATGTCAGGGTTAAAATTTGAACACAGGATCAACGGAGGGTCCAGTATTACAGTTCAAGGATCTACGTACGCAAAAAGCAAAACTGTCCAGAAAGTCTTAGCTCTCAAGAACATTCTAATATAGTCTTCCATCACCTCGTTTACCGGAATCACCTCTGCTGCTGGGTGTCTGAATAAAGTGAACATCTGCAAGTATGAGGAGAATACAGAAGACATTTAACACACCCCTGACCATCAGCTGAGAAGGTCAAGGACGAACACACTGCAAAGTGATAGCGTAACAGAGTAACAGACTGTCTCAGCTGCACAGTGACTCTGCAGATTATAGATAAGCTCCTTGTTCTCCCAAGACCATTTTGAAAGAGGAAAAAGTTGCTGAAAGATGGAAGCATGAAAAGATCTTTATTATACATGAAAAGTGATGTGATATTTTAATAACAAGCCCAGATGTGTTTCTGCTCGTGGGCTGTGATCCCACCACCTTTCACCGGAGGCCATGCCTATCAGCGCCCGTCCCAGGGAGGGGCCTGCCCTGGTCAAGGTCACTGTGCTCACAGCTGGTACCCCATACCAGGAGCTGGTTTTAATAAAAGTCAGCTGGTATCTGAAATGCAAATAGGAGGGGGGCCTAAAGGATGGATACAAAGGGTCATCAAGCATGAACTGCAAAAGCCCAGAGTCTGCATGTCCTGATCCCAAGGTGTATCTGCAGATGGACTATCCTTACTACAGGAGGGAGGGTTCAAAACCTCCATATTTATTTGCCTAAAGTGTGCAGGATTCCACCATGATAACCAGGTAAGAAATGTTCTTGGCAGCCAAGGGAAAAGAATTTTAATGTATTATAAAAAATAACACTAATTCAAGATGAAACACTGTTTCCTTTCTGACCATAAAAATATTGGGTAGAGAAAAACTAATCTAGCCAAAGAATTTCAGAGTTAAAAGAAACCTGCATCTTTGAGTTCTGCAGCTTCTGAGTGGAGGGTGGTCCTGAGGGAGCGAGTCTGTGGACTCCCAGGGATGACCAACGCCCAGGATGGGTGAGGGGCAGGACAGACCACTTGCAAATGAAGGAAATAATAGTCTACAGCCAAGAAGATCTTCTGTGGAAGAAAGCAAAGTTGATTTTTTTGTTTTTGTTAAGTCTTCTTATGCTTGACATTTAGACAAATAGTATTTGAAGACAAAGATAGAAATTCCCTGGTCAAACCTCAGCCTCAGGACCCACACTCCAAACAGAGGATCCTGAAGCACAGGGAAGAGAACGGAGCAAACCCAGCCCACACACTGAGAGCCTATTTCCAAAGCACGGTGTCAAGGGACTCACATACGTGACCTGCCTACGTTTTCCCAAACTCTGAGATACGTAGGGGAAGTAAGTCAGCTCGAGAGAAGTTGTCTGCCCGCAATTTTGCTACTTGGCTTGTACGGGGCAGGGCAGGACCCACAGGCAGGTCAAAATGCCTCCAAATCCACTTGCAGAAATGACAGGCTAATGGCACACAAATAATCCTTCTCTGTTCAACTAAGAAAGTTGTAAAAGATATTGAAAGAGTCTTAAACATAGAGTTAACAAGATTGTGGGGAACTACTGGGCCCAAGTCTCTGAGAAGCATTAGCCGAGAGAGGAAACAAGCCACTTGTACCCTCAAGTCCTCAATGATCTACAAGAAACAGCTGAAATTCCGACCGATGGTCCTGGTAACCCTGCGAGGCTGCAGGGAATGGAAATCAGAGCCAAGTGTCTGCTCAAGACTTGGTGGGGTGGGGGTGGGACTGCTATTCAACGACAGCACTTCCTAGCTCAGGCCATGGCAGGCTACCTCCTCAAGGTAAGAGGTGTGTGAGACACGTAGCCTAACAGGGCCTGGGAGCCTCAAAACTGGATAACAAGGGTCCCAGGATGGTGGTTCTCCCAGGCACCTGGAAGAAGCAAAGGAAAACCCCTGAGGGAAAGAACTTCCATTCAAGGCCTCAAATTAACTCCACAGAGAAGTATTCAAATACAACGACCAGTACACAAAGGTAACTGGGCACATAAGTAAAAACATATGAAAGAACAGATAATAAAAGACTTCCCAGAGCAACCATTAAGAAAATAATTCAAAAAGAGTTAAAAATCAATAATTTATTATAAACAGTACACTAGAAAATATCTATTTAATTTTTTAAAAAGGGAAGCAGTAAACAAAGAACAGAGGAACAAAAATAATATGTCATAGAAAATAAATAGCAAAATGGCAGGCATAAATCCAATCGTAAAAAACTTAAATATGTGAATAAATTCAAAATTCTAATCAAAGATAAAAGTTGTCAAACTGCAATTTAAAAAAAACCACAAAAACAAAACAAGTTCTACTTATATGCTATTTATAAGAGGCAAAATTCAGGTTCAAAGACACAAATACACTGAAAAGTGAAAGGATGTAAAAAGATACACCAAGCAAACTATAACCATAAGGGAGATGAAGTAGTTACACTAATACAGGGCAAAACAGACTTTTATTTTATTTTTTAACATCTTTATTAGAGTATAATTGCTTTACAATGTTGTGTTAGTTTCTGCTATATAACAAAGTGAATCAGCTATATGTATACATATCCCCATATCCCCTCCCTTTTGCGCCTCCCTCCCACCCTCTCTCTCTATCCCACCCTTCTAGGTGGTCACAAAGCACCGAGCTGATCTCCCTGTGCTATGTGGCTGCTTCCCACTAGCTATCTATTTTCCATTTGGTAGTGTATATATGTCAATGCCACTCTCTCACTTCACCCCAGCTTACCCTCCCCCCCTCCCCATGTCCTCAAGTCCATTCCCTACATCTGCATCTTTATTCCTGTCCCTAGGTTCATCAGAACCTTTTTTTTTTTTTAGGTTCCATATATATGTGTTAGCATACGGTATTTGTTTTTCTCTTTCTGACTTACTTCACTCTGTATGACAGACTCTAAGTCCATCCACCTCACTACAAATAACTCAATTTCACAAAACAGACTTTAAAACAAAGAACTTTAATAGAAACAAAGAGGGACATTAAACATTGACAGAATGGTCAATCCATCAGAAAGATATAACGATTATAAATATTCATGTACCTAACAGCAGTGAAAAAACGGAAACAAAAATGAACAGAATTGAAGAGAGAAATAGACAATTCAACTATCAGAGTTGGAGACTTCAATACCCCACCATCAAGAATGGACAAAATAACTTGACAAAATACTGCACCATCAACCAACAATACCAACCTGCTGACTTCTCTCTGTGGACACCCACCCAACAACATCAGCCTGCTGACATCTAACTATGGAACGCCCACCCAATAACAACCGACTGCATACTGGACCACAAAACAGGGATCAGAAAATGTTAAAGATCTAAAAGCATATAAAGTGTGTTCTCTCACCACAACAAAATTGTTAGAATTCAAAAATAGCAGGATTAGGGGAAATCTACCACCAATATGTGGCTATAAACAACGTACTTCTACATGGCCAATGGGTTAAAGAAGAAATCACAAGGAAAATTAGAAAAGACTATGAGGTGAATGAAAATGAAAACATGACATGATGCAAAATAGCTATAGCAATTCTTGGAGAAAATGCTACAGCTGTTAATGCCTGTATTAACAAAGAAAGATCTTAGGGGCCAACCACCAAAAAAGAAGCAAACTCAACCAAAAGTAAGCAAAGGAAAATAAAGATTAGAGCAGAAATCAACGAAGTAGAAAAAAAGAAAATCAATTAAAATAATGGCTGTTTTTTTTTTTTAAACACCAAGAAATTTAACAAATCTTTAGCTAGACTGGAGATGAATAAACTTTTTCTATAAAGGGCCAGATAGTAAATATGTTAGCTTTTGCTGCCACATATGGTTTCCGTCAATATTCTTTGTATTTTTTGGTTTTGTTTTGTTTTTACAACACTTTAAAAATAAAAAGACCATTTTTAGCTTAGAGGCTATACAAAAACAGTGGCTGCCGGTGGGTTTGGCCTGTGAGCTGTCATCTGTGGACTCCTGAGCTAGACAGACCTAGAAAAAGAGAAGACACAAATAACTAATTCAGGAGTGAAAAAGGAGACAGCAGTTCTTACCTCATAAAAGTTAAAAGGACTATAAGTAACTGCATGCCAACAATTTAGATGAAATGAACGAATTCCTAGAAAGACATGAATTACTGAAATTGACTGAAAAAATATAAAATCTAAATAGATCTATAAAAAGCCAAAAAAAAAAAAAAAAGAACTAGTAATTTAAAATCTCGAAACAAAAAAGTCCAAGCTCAGATGGTGAATTCTACCAAACATTCAAAGAATAAAGAACATCCCACCTTTACAAAGTCTCCCAGAAAAAGGAAGAGGCAGCCAACTCATTCTCTGAGGCTCATATTACCCGATACCAAAGCCAGAAAATGACATCACAAGGAAAGAAAACTAAAGAACAATATCCCACATGGATATAGATGAAAAAGTCTTTGACAAAATAAGCAAACCAAATCCAGCAATGTATAAGAAGGATTATAAACTATAACCAGGTGGGATCTATCCCAGAAATACAAGGTTGCTTTACCATCTGAAAGCCAATTAATGTCACAGATCATACCAAAAGAAAGAAGAACAATCACTACATGATGATCTCAGTAAGCACAGAAAAAGCATTTCACAAAATCTAATGGTCATTCACGATAAAAATTCTCAACAAAGTAGGAACGGAAAGGAACTTCCCCAACCCAATAAAAAGCATCTACAAAACCCCTACAGCTACATCTTAATGGTGGGTGATGGAATGCTTTCCCTGAGGTTGGAAACAGGGACGGTATCTGCTCTTGTGACTTCTGTAGAGCACTGCAGTTCTGGTCAGTGCAATCAGGCAAGAAACGGAAATAAAAGGCATCCAGATCAGAAAGGAAGAAACTGCCTCAGTTTGCAGACAACATGATCTTGTATTTAGAAAACCCTAAGGAATCCACGAAAAACTACCGGAATTAGTTTCAGCAAGGTCACATAATATAAGATCAAGATACAAAAATCAATGGTATTTCTATATACTGGCATTGAAGAATCTGAAATAAAATTCAGAAAATTTTACATTCACAATAGCATCAAAAGAACGAAATATTGAGGTATAAATTTAACAAAGGAAGTACAAGACTTGTATGGTGAAAATTACAAAACATTGCTGAAAGAAGTTAAAGACCTAAATGAACAGGTAGACATCCCATGTTGATGGACTGGAAGACTCAATTCTTCAGCAAAGCAATTTTCCCCAAATTTCTGCAGAGTGGCTGGGCCCGTGAGCCATGGCCGCTGAGCCTGCGCGTCTGGAGCCTGTGCTCCGCAAGAGAAGAGGCCACAACAGTGAGAGGCCCGCGTACCGCAAACAAACAAACAACAATAAAAGATAAATATAGAGATCAGTAGAACATAACTGACAATAGAGAAATAACCTTTGCAATTATGGTTGATTCAAGGCAGTTCAATGGGAAAAGGATAGTCTTTTCAACAAACTGCTAGGACAAGTGGATCACCACAGGGAAAAGGTAAATGCAGACCCTCATCACACGCAAAAATTAACTCAAAATAGATCACAGACCTAAATACAAGAGCTAAAATTTAAAAATCTTAGGTAAAAAAACTTGGAGCAAATATTGGTTACTTTGAATTAAGCAAAGAATTCTTAGATATGAAAACAAAGGCACAAATGATGAAAAGAAAAATTTGACAAATTGGGCTTCTTCAAAAGTTAAAAATTTTGTGTTTTAATTTAGGTATAAATTTATCAAGGAAGTAAAAAGGCCACCACAAACTGGGAGAAAATATTTACAAGTTCTATATCTAGCAGTAACCAGTGCCACCCTGAAGACACAACATCCTTCCCGACACTGAAGATCTTTCATTCTATTGCAGAGGTGAGTGTTACTGGCATTCAATCGAAGGAGAGATCCTAAATGGAAGTCCTGTGAGTGACAACTGCAGAGGGATGGAGCTCACAGCGGGGGGAGAGCCGTTAAAATGGAGGAGAACAGAAATGACACTTTTCTGAAGCATTTCCACCCAATCCCAGTACGCTTTCTCTGTCTCAGGGCATCCTTTATTTCTTCAG